TGTTCCCTTGGTATCTCTAATTTTCTTGAAGAGATCTCTAGTCTTTCCCATTCTATTGTTTTCCTCTATTTCTTTGCACTGATCACTGAGGAAGGCTTTCTTATCTCTCCTTGTTATTCTTTGGAACTCTGCATGTACATTAATGTTAAGTACATTACGTATATTGCCTCATTTAATTCTCTCTACAGTCATGTGATACCTTGTGATCTTTTTTCATTTGGGGAAAAAAGATGAAGGAAATCCCCAAGATCCCACAGTTAGGATGTATATAAGTGCTAGAGTCAGGGTTCAAATAAAGGTCATCTAATTCCAAAATTTGGAGCCTAACTGTTCCTGTGAGAAGCAAAACTGTCCAGAGAACTGGACTCTAGAGTTTGCCTAATGAATGCATTATCTTCTCATAAGTGTGCAATTTGGAGCCTAATCATTAGCAAGTGGGTTCGCGAGCTTGACAGAGAATCGGAAAAGTGAATTATCTGCCTTAAATGTTTAATGATAACAGCCTTGGGTAGCCTGCTATGTCTTCTTCTACCCCAAGGGTCAAATGACCTGCTGGGAGGACTGGGCACTCATTCCTGCTGGCCTGGCTGGCCCTTCTCCTTGGAATGGTACTAGATCGGCCCTCAAATTTTTTTTATGCTTCATGGGCTGCTCCTTCTCAGATGCTCACATTCTTTTTTTAGATAAAATAAGGCCTTACTGAATAACAGTATTGTTAGGTAGGCCTTTTAGGTCCTGGAGTCCTCCTTTCTTTTTATGGAAGCCTGTCTTTGCTCTGATTGACTTGACTTATAATCTAATTGTGTGTTCCAACTCTTTGGGGGTAACTCACTTTATTTTCTTACCCTTCCTTACCTTCTAAATCTAGAATAAAATATTGTGCAATAGCAAGTTCTGCAATAAGCACTTTATCCAAGCCTGCAGTGCTCATCAATGAAGACCCAAAAATCTAAGTCCATGGTCAGAGTTCAGAAATTTTATCACAGTCAGAGAGTAGGAATGGAGGTGGGGATGGAGATAATGCAATGTAGCTAGAGAACAATATAAATGGAAATACATGGTTAGAAAAGAAAACACCTGGTGTGTGATTCAAATAAAAAGTACAAAAAATTTAAAAATCTTTTAGATACTTCAGTCATTCAAAAACTGTTTTGTGGCAACTACAAAATGCAGCCACTTTGCTAATCCTGGGGATTCAATAATGAGTGAAAATAGACAGTCTCTGCCCTCAGGAAACACAATTTAGTGATGTAGTCAGACAATCAAATAGTCAGTCAATTATAGAATACTGTCCTAAATGTTACAAAGGGAATTTGATTCTATGAGTAGGATTTGAACTTCCCTGGGGGGAGGGAGAGAGTCAGAGAAGTTTGCTTAGATGAAGGTTTGTTTGAACTGGGAGGAAGAATGAGGATTAGTTAACTGGGTAAAGGAGATGGGGTTGGAGAAGAGATAATCAGTGAAAGAAAGCATGTGCAAAGGTCCCAAGGCAGGAGAGAACCAACCTGGAGCATTTGAAGAACTGGAAGTGGGTAGAATCTGAACCATTATCTACGTGATACCCCAAAGGGTCAATTGAGCGTCTAGGAGAACCCAAGTCCCAGGAGGCTGGTGAGCAAGGCAGAAGCCATATCAGGTAGAGCCTTGAAGGTCATGCTAAGGACTTAGGTCTTTATCCCATGAGCACTGATGTTGTTTAAGCAAGGAGTTATATCATCAGGCTTGTGTTTTGGAAAGATTGTCTGCTGTGTGGTGAGTGGATTGAAAGATGGTCACCAGTTGGGAGCAAGATGATGGTGGTAGTGGTAGAGGAGATGGAGAGAAATGGACAGATGTGAGAGCTGTTTAGGAGATAAAATGGTCCAGGAACACACCAATGGATTGGATCACAGAGGTAAGAGAGGAGACACCATGCACGACTCCCAGGTTGCAGAACTGAATGACCGATTCTGGCAGCTATGTAAGTATTCAGCTCTCTCTTCAAGAGCCCCTTCTAGGGCTTCCCTGGTGGCTCAGTGGTAAGGAATCTGCTTGCCAGTGCAGGAGACATGGGTTTGATCCCTGATCCAGGAAGGTCCCACATTCTGCGGAGCAACTAAGCCTGTGCTCTAGAACCCAGGACCCACAAATATACTGAGCCCATGTGCCTCCACTACTGAAGCTCGGTGCCCTAGAGCCTGTGCTTCACATGAAGAGAAGTCACTGCGATGAGGGTAGCCTCCGCCCTCTGTAACTAGAGAAAAGCTCTCTCAACAACAAAAACCCAGCACAATAAAAAAAAAAAAAAAAAAGCCCCTTTCTATGATAAAC